ACTAGGGTCAAACCTGGGTTAACCCAAACTGCCTTGAACCGCCTAAATAAAACCCAGTTTTTCGGTTCTAACGTCTAGACAATGGACAGTGCATCGACCACATTAATTTGCATAAAAACTGTAGTTCAAATCGCTCTCATTCACATCTTCCAAGCTGTTGTTTATTTTTAGGTTATCTTTACCTGGTGGATTTGTCAAGACCAAATAGTTGTAGCTGAAATGTGTCGATTTATTGTGTGCAAGCTTCATTTCACAGTATGTCTCGTCTAAAAAAAACACTCAACACTTAGCGCCCAGTGTCTTCAACTCAGAAAATCATGATTTTTCCAGGGGTGGGTGTTTACCCGAGCCCCTTCTCGGAAAAGAATGCAAATGACAATTTTAATTTTAATATTACGTCTTTGAGGGGAAATAAAATTACGAAATTAGTTGCGGCGTCTTTGACTTTTACAATGAAGAAACAGAAATGATCACAAAAAATATGCACATTTTATTACAATATTAATTACGTACAACCCAAATTTTCAAGGTTAAAAATATTAGAGTCTGTTGGGTCAAAGTCAAAATCTTCATTATCTCCACTGATGAATGTGTTGCATCGCACGTAAACTCTTGATGAGAAGCACTTTCCGCCATGATGTATTTGCATGGTTTGAGCTGCAACAAAGTCCTTTGACCTGATGGGTCAAATCTGTTATTAACCAAACAGAATATTGTGTTGTACTGATGCAATTCTTCAGAAATTCTCGAAAAAATTTTCTGGTAATGCAATGCAGAGGTGAATTATCAATGTCGAAGCACGGTCTGTTGGAATTGATTTCGGCGAATAAACAACAGTCATTGTTGAAGCGTGGGCACTTTGCCGAATGTGATCATGAATATAAAAATTGCGCAAAAGTGGGGGGTGGGTGCTTGACCGGGCATGGGCACTATTGCTGTTGAGAACAGTACTAGTATATATACAACTTATAATATTTCATCCCGAGAAGCTGCTCATTCAACTTCTATTGCATTATTTTCCAGTTCTGTTTCAAACACAGATTTACCAGATATATCACAATAGAAGGTACTGGTATATGGTTTCACTTGATACATATTTTAATAATGACATGAAATATATCACACTATTACGTCTGTAATTAATTGCAGATAAATTGACTAAATATTCACAATAACAATTGTATTGACTTGTATCATTTGTTCTCTGTTGTTTGTTTTTAGTTGGGAGTGTTAAGGTTCAGAAGGCAGACCTACTACAAATTAGCATATTGTAGGTCAAGTAGGTTTGAATAGAACTGGAAAGGGCAGGCCGGGTTAACCTAGGTTTAACATGAGTGTTTGAATAATAGATCGTTACTAATGTAAATTTACAGATCTCTCCTACAGCAGCAGATACATATTTGTGTGTGTTTCATATTTCCATGTTTTTATATTAGTATTTCAAACCGAAAGGTTGTCACCTGCGCATGCACGGGAATTGAGTCCCAAGCGATGATAACAACACTCACTAAAAACGCAAAGGCTCATCGGTAGACGCTTGTTTGTAAACAATGACATGCTATGGCCAACTGACGCAGGCGTAGGTGATGACAACCCCGCTTTAATAACAACTACTCTCAAAAGTTACAGTGAAATTCATGAAGGCATGAATGTTTTATAATTTCAAACAGTCAATGCATGGTAGTAAATCAGCCAATGAATGAAGGAAATTGCAAAGACTCATTGGTAATGAGAGTTACTATTTTAAAAGGCTTCAATAGAGTTTTTGCATGTTTTCTACATGTTAGAGATATAGCAATATGTTAATAAAGCACTAGTATAGCCACCAATGTCAACATTTAAAATACAGAACATACAAATGGTCTATATCCAATAAATGCATATTCTTTGAATTTGAATGAAATGTCTGTAAAGGTAAAGGTTTTATAAATATTTTACAAATTTCCATCAAAAAACATTCACGCCTTCATAAAATTCACTGTATAGTGGTTTCAGAAAAGCTGTTTCGAAAATTTATGAATCATAAACACAAAACAATTACAAATTGGAAAACTGTCCTTGACCAATCAGAATAATCGCTATGACTTCCCCACTGATAAATACATAGCCCCCCAATGAACCACCAAGTCTGCGGGTGTGCTGCGGAAGTGCGTTCTAAAGTGGCTATCAATAAATCAACTAAGGTGTATCAACCAGAATTTGATCGGCTATGCTGCATATCATAAAATTATTATAGCCCTTTCTGTTGTCTCATTTGATGTGAATGCAACAATTATAAATATGTTATAAACTACTTATAAATTGTCGACACAGCTTTTCTGAAACCACTAAATTGTTTCTCATGATCACTCTGAACTTGTGAATCTTAGTGTATTTGGGGAAAATGTAAAATTAATTAACATGTGTTTAGAAACTATAATGAATACATACATATGATCATCATAGACCATTGCAGAGATGGGAGATTCACCTGACTCGAGGCCAGATCAAGTAATTTGGGCTTCTGGTCAACTCGACCCCAAGTCAACTCGACCACCGTATTTATACTGTAATTTGTACCATACCTGTATAAAGTGTTGAATGATTTATCGCATCCTTGTTGCTCACATGAAAAAGGTTTTTCGTTCGTATGCACCCTGACATGTATTTTCAGACTGTACGACGTGAGGAATGCTTTTCCACATCCCATTTGAGTACACGCAAAACTGTACTGTCCCTTGTGAGTTTTCTGATGGGTCTTCAGATTACCAGCAGTACTGTACGATCTCTGGCAGCCCTCATAACTGCATTCATAACGTTTCACCACTTTTACATTGGTTTTAGGGTCCCGTGATTCAAGGGTGAGCGTCGCCCCACCGATGTGTTCCGGCATAAAATTATCACCAGGGTTGATCTGCATTTGTATATGATCCGGTGAGATGGTATGATGGATGTAACCACAGTGTTCATGCCCATCCAACACATCATTTGAGTCGTCATTTTCTGTCGGCAATATCACAATGTTGCCGGACTCAGAACAGTGTCCGCACTTCGGCACATTTTCTGAGCCCTCGATAAAAACAGCTGTCTGGTCGAAGGTAGCGTTTACATAATCGACGTTGTCCTCGTCGTTTTCATTTTTCTGGAACCCCGTCTCTCCCGAAATATCCCGGCAATCAATACCAGTCTCTCCAGTTCGAGATTCTTCTTCCGTGACGTCTGCCATTTTGAATAAAAAACAATCTGTGATTACTGAGTATATCTGATAAATAGAAGCGTCGGTATTCGAAAATACAGGTTATAATCGTGGACGTTAATCATATTGCACTTAGACCATTTCACCCTCGAACGAATCATGTTTTTAATAAGATAGTACAACATACACGGAGCGCAGATTAAATTATTTAAAAAATAATATTAGCGTGCGGGCTGAATAGGCGGTTAAAAATATACCCAGCGGCAGTAAAGTTGTGTTTATTGTTTGTTTACGTTCAACTTGTAGGATGCTATCACGGTTACTAAAAAAAAAAGACCGTGGTGTTATTAAAGTCACTATCACTAGTGTATTTGCTGTAATACATCAGCATCTTTTTTTTGGTTATTATCGTAGACTCTGTCTTGAGTGGATTTAGGTTGGGATCAACCATTTGAAAGCATTAGGGGTGGCTGGAAGAGTGCTTTTTGTTATGTTTTTCCTGCACATTTTTTTTTTATATAAGCACATAATTATTATAATATATATATATATATACTAGTATAGCTTTTATTCACATAAATAATACATAACATTTAAGACAGAAACAATACACAAGAAAATAGAAACTAAAAAACAAACAAAGGTCATTTTGGGGTTGCCTTATCACAGTAATGTACTCCACAGCAATACTTATAGCAAACACACATTATATTGTTTTTTTTTATACTAGAGCCACACTGACATTTCTCATCAATAAAGATTTACATTATTTTTTTTAGACCATTTGGAATTATAAACGTTTATTTTCCTCTTACTTAATCAATTATCACTTAAAATTAACATTCAGTTAAATTAAACCATTCCAGTTGAATCATTTAGTACCTTGCTTTTGCGGTGGCCAAGGATATCAACTATGTGATCGATCATGTTTTGACCATCAATGACTACAACTGTTGATTTTTCTCAACACATTTTGTTACAACCCAAATGCCATAGCTTTTCATGAAGCATGGTGATGTATGCAACAGCGCCCTCTACCGTTGTTTTCTTTTACAAATAATGAAGAATCCAAAGGGACATAGAATATGTTTTTTTTTTTTAACTAAACCTTAAAAAGTATCATCCCAGTATGTAAATATAAGTATCATCAGCGTTTCTACAACAAAAACAAATGTATTGCAGTTGTTTAATATAATTATCATTGTTTTGGGGAAAATAACAAGATGATCAGAAATTGACAGTGCAGAAAAAAAGATAGATGTTCAATTTATTTTCCCAATTAAATGGTAAGTTTTTTAACACATTTTTATAAAAAAAAGCAAAACAAAATCGTTCTGTTTCTGGGCTTTATATTTTACATTTCCATTGCACAAAATCTGGTGAAAAAAAATGGATAATAAATAGGTCATAGTAGAATTGTATGACAATGATTTATGCTACTAAATACCATCATTACTTTATTTTTGGTGAAGCTTAGTATTTAAACATAAAAAAACAACAACATTACATTGCGCAAGGCCACACGTTTATTACGAGTGAATAACCTCTTTATCATACATGCAACAGTACCATCACAAAAATCATGGAAAATGATCACTAGAACGAGGACGAACGTGAAAACTAGCAGTTAAAAACTGCGATAGCTTGGAAAGCCAAAGGCAAATTCTTTTGGTTTTGCACTTGCTACTGCATGTACCGGGTATAATAAGTAGAATAAGCATGTATTTGATGTGGGGATTTCAAACTAACATCAAACTTTGCTTTGCCAAATTATTGACTAAATATCTGAAAGTAGGAATTTCAATTTCCGACTACTTTGAAAGTGCAAAGTAAATTTCAATCTGTAATGTTAAACTTAAAACAATTTTGAATGCACACATATCTAAAATGAACAGATTGAGTGTTGAGAACATTCTAGTAAACAAGACGTTCTATTGTTGATTTTTTTGGCGAAAACGAGTAAAATATTGTACAAGTCACAAATTTTGCTGTCTATATCAAGAATGATCATGCAACTTACTGTAAAGTTATAAACACTGGCAAGGTTACGCGAAAAGTGATATTAACTCCATATTTGGAGTTGCACGCTGTGTGTGCAGTTCTTATTTTATTGTCGGTCATATGATATTATGAGAATACCGCGAAGTATGCATGAAGATTGTATCAACCAATGCATATTCACATGTAGACTGGCAAAGTCGGGACTTCTTTTTTGTTTTACAAAAAATATAATTGTCAATTTAGTCTTTTTAATGTGATCACGAAAACTAGCGTGACTAGCTAGCGGTCAGGTTAGTTTTCGCGATAAGGACTAAAAGAACAATTAACTATTTCTTTTTGTATAACAAAAAAGAAGTCCCAACTTTGCCAGTCTAATTCTCATGGTAACCTTATTAACATACATTGTTTTTCTGCTTGTAGTCGTAATTTTTTTGAGAAATCACAGCTCAAAATAGCAACTATGGTAAGAATATTTTGCATTTTAAAAAAGTTTGCATTCAGTAATTTGATTCTATTTCCGTCAAATACTATAAATTCTTTGTTCAATGGAAATAAACAAAAATGTTTGATTGTGACGTAAACATTATACACAATTTCCATCCGTCAAATACTATAAATTCTTTGTCCAATGGGAATAAACAAAAATGTTTGATTGTGACGTAAACATTATGCACAATTTTGAGAATAAGGAATGTTCAAAAGATGTTCAGTGTTTTACTGATAGATATACATGTATTCTATTATTATATATCTGTCACTGTAATGCCATAAGTTACAGCGTGCCGTAATTTTGCGGTATTTTACGGGGTATTTTCATCCTACCATATTAGGAAACACAAATTCCAAATATGGAACGATTACACGTGTAAGCATCCTTTAATAATAAAAAAACAAACATGGCTACCCCCCCCCCCCCAAGGGTTTGACCCGACAGAAAAAGTCTGCTTAATCTATTCTAAACGTTACGGATTTTGGCATTCCCATGATGTGTTTCTGGGAAGAAAAGATGTATAATAATAAGTTATTACAAGGATACTGCAAAGTATGCAGTGAGACAGTACATGATCGCATCGACATCTGCTGCGTGTCGGTCGATACACCTGCTGTACTGTTGTGCATTATCTTTGCAGTATTTTCATATTAACCTCATATTATTTTCAATGTCAGATGCATGAGAGTATATATACAGTTGATAACTCGACATTCACTTAAAACACAAAAACAATTTTAAAAGATTATATTTTATTTCTCTACCAAAAAAAAAAATACATAAAATGAACATATAAAAATGATTTTTTCTCTTCAAAAATTCTATGACATAAACAGTGTTACCATGGCGATGAGGATATTTGATACCAACAAAAGTGTCCCACACAGTAGTATACAATTTATGAGAAAACTTCGATCTGTGGGTTTTGGAATTGATTTGGCAAAAATATACTCCACATAAGCTGTGAGAATCCACTGGCCATCTAATGCATAGCAAGGAACAGAATTGAGAATGGCCAACGCCCCTGAGAGTGAAATGAAATATCTGAAGTACCATAGTGTTAAGGAAACATGTTGTGCTGTCAGTTCTGTATTCTCGTATATAATAAAGTAAAGACATATGGTTAATATATATATGTTATGTATGTCTTATTTAAACAATGTACATCATATTTGAACACTTTCCTTTACCTATACAACTTTTAGTCATGTGACCTTTTGTTCTAGGTGCGATTTATTTTTTTGTAAATCTACACGCCTCTTTGTCTTTATGCTAGTTACCTGGCCACACTTGTATTCATATGCAGAGTGTTATTTCTATAGATAACTTTGGCATACTTTGTAAACTGCTATTGTAAATCAGAACTTGCATCTTGGCAAGGATTGATCAGCTTTTAGTCAAGGTGCAACATTTGGAACTGACGAGGAGAAGATAGACTTCAAACATGCAACATCAACCAAATTTAAAAAAAAAAATAACTTAGATGATTTTATTCAAATTATAAGCAAATTAGGAACCCACAAGTTAACTGAGATGGTTTTATTCAAATTATATACAAATTGTGAAGCTACAAGCTAACAAGATGTCTGACAAAAGGATACTTTAGTAATGTATCTAACATATTTGGAAAACTTATCGGTGAAAATGTATATCTTGGAATGTAACTAGAGACTCTCACTGCAAAATAAACTCATATCAGTTAGAAAAGACATGTATGTGGCAACACATGTATAGTAGTGCAAAAAAACAAATAACTTTAATTTATAAATTATTTTAAGTCAGACACTTTGGATTTGATGATGACAAAAATGCATGTACATTTGTCTGATATGATGTCTGATGTATGTGTGTTGGTCCAGGCATGTTGGAGATGAGGATTCGGAGAACTGAATTCTGGGAAATAAAATGGCCACCAGTCGGACATTTTGAACCCAGTCAGAAAAATAAAAATAAAGCGCATTATAAGATTCCATTGTGTTTAATGTATGTACCAAGTTTAAACCAAATCAGTTCACACACAGCTGAATTCCAGTTCTGGAATTGTGAAAATATTGGATTTTGATTCATATTTGGCTTTAAAACGGCTGCCATTCAGGCATGGAATCAAATGCATGTGCACATGTCCAATATAAAATCTGATGAATATGTGCAGTTTTAACTTAATCGGTCCAGGCATATCAGATATGAATCAGATTTGAAACTGCATTTAAAAAATCAAAGAAAGCTTAGAAAGAACTCCCGTGTGCTGAGAGTTTTGGAGACACATTAAAAATTAATTCAAAATTACTTATACTTGAGATATTGATGGAATAGCTGAAAACTAATTATGCAAATAAGGTAACTAATATGAACAGATTTAAGTGTAAAACTAATAAGGTCTGCACAATGTACCAAGTTTCATTGAAATGTGATTAGAACCAAAAAAATATTAATTATTATGCTAATTAGAGAATTAATATGAACAGATTTTAACCCAAAATTAATCAGACTGTTTATTGTCCTAGAGCATTTATGTACCAAGTTTTATTCAAATGTGATGATCAATACTTCAGATATCAGT